CTCCGGGGCAAGGCCCGGCCGTGGGCACGCGGGGAGGAAGGGCCAGCGGGCCCTGGCGAGGCCGCTGCGGCGGGGAGAGGCCGGGACCCCCGAGCCGCCTCTGGTCTGGACGTGGGACCCGTTTAGATGTTAATGCGGAGGGATGGCTGAGCCCGGCACAATGGAGCACAAAACATGCGCATAATGGCTGAAGTTTTAATCCCCTGCTGCCGCCTGGAGCAGGGAAAACAATGCCGAGGGTTTCAAATGGCCCGTCCAGCGTCCTGGCAGAGGATTATTTTCTACCTGGTACCCCAAGAGAGCCTTTTCATGTGCCAGAAGCAAAGAAAAAAGGGAAGGGGAAGGAGGGACAGCCAGCCCGCCCGCCCTCTCCAAGGCATGTCAGCAGCAGGGCACAGGCTCTGCTTGGGGCAAGGCAGCAGATTTCATGGGGAAAAATTAATAATTAAGCTCCTGGAGCGCCTTAAAGTGACCGTTCTCTCCCCGTCTGCCAGTGAGCCGACAGCCGGGCTCGGCAGGAGCCGCCCAGCATCCGCCTGCCACCTCCTCCTCCTGCCTCACCCAGGCCGTGCTGCAGAAGCCGCTGGATGTGGGATGAACCCCGTCGGGGTTTCTGGCCGCGCCGGTTGTCCCCCGGCTGTCGGGGCCGAGCTCTTGGCTGGGGAGAGGGGACCTGTGGCCACGAGCCCCCCTGAGCCACCGGGGCTCCAAGGGCCCGGCCGGCGGGGCGGGGAGAGGTGCCCTGCCCAGAGCTCAGGTGGGGACCAGGCTGTGAGGAGAAGGGTGTCTCGGCGCAGACCCAGGGCCAGGGAGTGCTTTATTCCAGCAGAAGCGGAATTTGTGCAGCTGGAGGTGTGGGAGAGGAGGGATTGGGGGCGAACAGCCAGCGGGTTGGCTCAGGCCCTCCGAGCTGAGCCCGTGCTCGCGTTTGGAGGCCGCAACGCCTGGCTCCTTCCCTCAGCACCGCTGCCGCCTTGCTGTCAGCAGCTGGGAACGCGCACCCGGCGTGCTGGGATCAATGGGCATCGATGGGATCCCTACGGAATCGCGTTGTCGCTTTGTCCCCTTGGCCTCCAGATGGGACGTGCTGGGCCGCGTGGCCCCGGGCCGCTCCGGGGGACGGGTTATCGCGTCCTCGCGCGCGGGAGCCCCGTCGGCACCAGCGTTTGCCATTCCTGTGGGCGTCTGCGCGCGTTCGCGTTCAATAAATGCCCCAAACCCAAAAGCCTGGAGCAAACTCTGCCGGGATCATGTCGTCGTTGTCTCTTCCCTTAAATCCCGCAGCCACGGCTGCTTTTGGGTGCTGCCGAAGCCACTCTGGGGGTCCCAAAACACGCCCTGACCCCCAAATCCTGCACGGGGGCCGCGTCTGCTGCTCCAGCCCTGCCCTGCGGCCCGAGGCTGCGGCTTCACGTGGGGGGAGACGGAGCTCCGGGGAGGGGGCGGCCGTCGCGCACCGAGCACGAGGGTGTCGCTGGGCGCAGACTTTGTTCCCAGAGGTGCCGAGAGCCTGGATTTTGTACTGGGCCGAGGGCTTCGTGGCTCAAGCTCCTGCCAGCTGCTCCTCCGGCAGCGTTTCCCCTTCGGAGCGTGTGCTAAAAACGTTCCTCTGGGGGGTGATCCTTGCCGCGTTTGGTCTGAAGCAGGAGCTGCGCGCTGGTTTTTGGAAAGCCTGAAGTAACTGTCTCTGCCCCGCGCTCCCGGTAAATCCCGCGGAGTTGGGCGTTTGGGAGAAAACGATCCCGCTGGCGAGCAGTAACCCTGGAAAAGAGCTGAACAAAGGCTTGGCCGCGGCAGGTGGGGGCCCCGCTGGGCGGGAGAGCGGCCCAGATCCTGCGAGAAGTGAGGCTGAAGGTCGCTGCCGAGCCGGGAACGGGCCTCGCGCCTCCCCGCCCCCCGGCAGGATCGGCCGCTGCCTCGGCACTGCTGGGGGGGTCCCGGGACCCCCGTTTTTCTGCTCCGCTGCTTCTGCCTGTGGGTGGCTCCGGGCTGGGGCCAGCCGGGCTCCCGGAGCCGGGACCTTCAGGGCTTGTGTGTGTTTCCCTCCGAGCGGGAGCGGGGGCCGGCGGGGGGGTGACGCCTCGTGCCGCCGCCCAGGCGCTGCATGGCGTTGGCCTGGCCTTGGCTCCTCAGGGCCTGCTCCCACCCCCGCCGAGGTGAAGAAAGGGGGGACGGGTCAGCTCGGGCCTCTGGATGCTTCCGGGCTTTGGCTCGGACCTTTCCCCACTTTGCGAGATCGTGAAGAATCCTAAAACCAGAGTCCCTGCACCTTTTCCTTCCTCCGTCCTTGGGAGGGGCTGGAGGGATGCTCCGCGCTGCCCTGCAGACGACATTTTCTCGCTCTCAGATCTCTCCCATGTGGTTCTTGATGCTTTCAAAGCCCCGCAGCGTCCTTGGGGTGCCCCGATCTTACAGACGGGGCGAAGCGCGGGGATTCTCGCTCCCATTGCCCCTGCGGGGCAGATCCAAGCTCAGGACCACAGGGGCTGCCGCTCCTTCAGGCGCAGACCCGCCGTGCCCCAGGGCTCCCAGCAAGCGGCCGGGACTGGTGCCTGGGCGGAGGGAAGAGCCTCGCCAGGAATCTCGAGGATTTTGCTTTGGGTTTCAGGCAGAGGGGAGGATGCAAACGCTGCGGGGGGAGGCTGAGGGGCCTCGTTTGATGTCAGCACAGTCCGGGCACCTCGTAGCCACTGCTGGGTCTTGCAGCCCCCGTCTCTCCCGCACCCTCCCCGTGCCGATGGCGGCAGCCGGGGGGGCTGAGCCCTGGAGTTGGTGGATCCCGGTGCTGGGAAGGGGAAGGGGGGGCTGCCCCGGCCAGCAGCTGCTCTGCTGGGGGGCACAGCGTCGGGGAGGGACCCCTCCAGCTGGCGTGGCCACCGCCTGCAGAGCCACCTGCGGTTGCCATTCGACCACCACCGCACCTGGAGCCGTCCTCCTGAAGTGGCGGGGGCGTCGGAGGAGTTTGGTGCCGGGTTATTTTATTTATTTCTCTCTCTTTTTTTTTTTTTTCCCTCTGAACCTCCCCTCCCACTGCAGCCGTCACCGCTGAGCCCTGACCTCATGATGTCATGCTGGGAGTAGGACGTGTTGCTGGTTCTTGTTTAACCAGCCTCCCTTTCTATCATTTTCCCCCTCTCCTACACATGAAACCTGAGACCACTCTCTGTCCCTTCCCCCTGCTTTTTTTCTCTTTTCCTCCCTCTCCGCTCTGTCCAGAAGCTCCTTCCATCAGGTCAGTACTGGGCTCGGGTCCCTGGCACAGCGGCTGCCTCTCCGGAAGCGCAGTGGGGACAGCGTTTGCAGACCGCGCTGCTAAAGGCTTACTAGATAAGCAAATTCTTAGGAGATCAGGAGGCAGAGAGAGAAATCTCGTGTGCTGGCAAGGGCTCGGCGCTGCGATTTGGAAATAGGCTGTGTGGGTTTGGGCTACGGTTACGGAGCAAGTGGATGCGAGCGGGAGCCGGGGCGTGTCACCGGGGAGACGGCCAGGGGACTCTGCGGGTCGCTGGGGGTGTAAATGCTGCCTGGGAAGGGGCAGAAGAGCATTTGGTGTCGTGGAGGAGCGTGGGACAAGCGCGAGGGCTGGGCGCGAGCAGGGGCTGCCGGGGGCAGGAACCCCGAGAGCGCCGGGGACGCGGCGGTGCCGGTTCCCTGCAGGGGCTGTTTCCCACGCGGCTTTGCTGCCCTTGAGGCTTCTCCTCTTTTTCTGCTTCCTTCATCCCAAAAAGCGGGAGGGAATATTTCCTCCCTGAGAAGGAGAAGAAAAGGGGGCGCAGGAGATTTAATTCCACGTCCGTGGATCTGCAGGTGTCAATTGTGGCTCCACGGACGTGGAATTAAATAAAGACTTTTAATGTGCGAGAGCCCATCTTGGCGTTAACCTTTGTTTCTCTTCTGACCCGTTGTCTCTTCCGAAGCTTGGCCGAACCCCTCCTGCCTTTGATACGAGCAAAACTAATTACAGTTCTGGAAAGCAGTGAGGGGCGGCTAACGAACGTTGGAGCTGGAGAATCTGGCACCGTGCTGGATACCAGGAGGAGGTTCCCAGAGCACCGCCGGGGCCCGGGCGGCCGCGTGGCCCGCACAGGGGGCAGGTACGGGCGGTTCGGC